TAGGAGGTTTACGTAATTCTAAAAAAATTAAATTATTGTTAAGAATATAAGTAATAAAAGAAGAAAGTCGCGTTTAAATTAATTTGCAGTCATACTACGAAGATTTTAAAGCAGTTAATAAAAATTATAGTACAAGCAAAAAAACGTTTAAGAAAAGAAAAAAAAAATTGTAATTTTTATTAATTCAAATTTTAAAATACAATATTTGTAAATGGTAATTTTATGTGATAACAAACTTTACCAAAAAAAAAAAATAAATAGATTTCATGTTTATACAGAGAGGTTGATTTATCATTGATCATAAATTTATTCAATATACTTATTTAACTATCTTATCAAATGTTAAATTATCTAGTTAAGAAAATAACTGATTGTTAACAACCTTTGAACGAGTACTTCAGAAATTTTTAATATTTTTGTACCTAGGCTGGAGGAGAAAATGAGAGAACGAGAAATATTTAATGTTGAATATTGTTTTTTACTCGCGCCTCACTTCAAATCTATATATTAAGTGTTAATGAACTCAAATATATCAGTTCAAAATTTGGTTATCTGACAGTATTTTTTTAGTTGGATCGTTTTCTATTAAATGAGTTAGTTAAATATGAATCTTTTAAAAAGATAATCTTTTAGGAGAATTTTAATAGTAAAAAATAAATTAATCACACTGTATACTTAAAATTATATGATCAATCATAAAAAATTGAATTTCCTTAATACTCATATAATAACATTTTAAAAGACCAATTTTAAACAAAAGTTTATTATTTACACCAACAAAATAAATAAATTAGTTAAATAAATGAAATTGAATTAAAAATCGTATTTTTTTTTTAATTTAAAAAATAATGCCATGCCTAGTAATTCCATGAGATTTCAATGAGGCTTTTTGAGTAAATCTTCTTAGGCATAATGAACATTGAAACTTAGGCTCAACTCCGCATTCATATCTTAAGTGTCGCCTAAGAATTTTTTCACGATTTATTCCTTGATAGCTACGGCCACAGTTTTTCGGACATTTCAATCGGTTATTAAATTCTTCATTTGTAAATAAAAAAAAACCTAAAAAAAATTATACATTATGGATACATGTTTTTAAACGCATTTTTGAAAAATATATATACGCAGTAAGCTTTGGACATATTTTTTTTTTGAGTAATAAGAGAATATCGTAAAGTTGTTTTATCAAAAATTGCATTTTATAAAATAAAGTGAAATTTAATTAACATAAAAGTATTTTATAGTACTCTATAAAAGATGTTAGATATATTAAGTATTATTATACAAATATATTTTATTATTAAGGTATTGAGAATATTTGCAGCATAGAGAATGATAAAAAAATATTATTTACACCATGAAAGTTATTATAAATAAATTAAAGTAGATCGTTATTTTTATAATAATTTATTATTAATTATAGTTTGGAAATAAGATATTAAATGGAGTCGAAAAAAAGACGTTTTCATAAAAATTGAGTTAGACATAAACAATATACATTCCAAATCTACCTTATTAAATTTTTATGAAATCTAAATCTAAATGAAATAAAAAAATGACTAATTATTCTAGATATTAAAATTTTGATAGAAATTAAAAAGCTTATTATATGGAATAAAAATTTATTAAATATTAATTTTGAGCTAAATATTTAATTTTTAGAATTAAAAAAATGTTAGTGTAAATTAAAATTTTTTATTATGGCAACTAGTTAATTAACCTTATATTAGATTCAAAGATTCGAGGTTTCTTCAAAAGTACTAATGACTAATGCAATTACCAGTGACGTATTTAGAGGGTTTTTGGACATCTTCAATTGATATTCAAAATAATTATTTAACAAAAAATCAATGTTTTATAATTACTTCATGTATGTGATATAGATTTTATGTATAGTAGAAGGAATAAAATAAAAAGTCTGTGAAATATTTAAGATGGTTTAATTTAATAAAATTGTTCATTCGCGTACATCTGACGAACAGCTAATCAACATTTTTCAGTAGATTTGATGTAATAATTTGATTCTAATTAACTAAAATCAATTATAAACAATATATTTAATAAATAATTTTCAATAGAAGATACATTCTTAGAATATTATTTTAAAAAGAAATTGCAAGTCAAATTTTTCTAATAGACACAAATCTTCATTTGTAAAATGTCTCAAAATACTAACATAGTTAACATAAATAAATTATGATGAATTTTAATAATAACATTAACAAATTGTTTAACAAACGTTATTAGGTGGAAACCTAATGTAATGCAGTTATTTTAATTCAATGCTATTCCATGGACTGTACCCATGTGAGTAGAAAGATAGTATTTTTGAGAAAAACGTCTGCAACAAATTGTACACATAAATTTTCTTTCAACGCCACACTCGTACACAAGGTGACGTCGAAGTACTTTTTTCCTATGTATGCCCTTATAGCTACGTCCACAATTTTTTGGACATTTGGCCGGATCTTCTTTAGCAAAAAACTCCAAATTAGCTAACCAATATCCTAAAATTAAAAAAAAAAAATTAAATAGTAAAATAATATTAAAGAATGATATTAATTTCGATAAGCAAAAAAATATTTTCAAGCTAAAATGACACAGTTCATGTATATATTAAAAATGCATTAAGTTTGGTCAAGGAAAAAAATGGATTATAATTATATTTTATGATTGAATCATTCAAAACAATTAAAACATTAAGATTTTTTTGTGTATTTAAATAAAAATTCCAAATAAAATTTTATCTATTATAATTTATTTCTTGATTTCAATAATCTATTTTGATTAATTATAGATTTTATGTAGTATAACGATAAATCAAGTTCATGTTAGAACGAGTATATGGCATAATAATAAGTATTGATGTAGTTCTTGAATGCTAAAAATGAACTGAAAAAATTAATGCGTATTTGTATAATAACGTATAATATACATATTCGAAGTCATCGTTGTCGTTATCTTGATAATATTCAAAAAAAATAAAATAAAATTTAATCATTTTAAGAAAAAAAAAAATGCCTAGACTAGACTAAAGTACTCAAAATAATTTACCTAGTTAACTCAGTAAAAGTAAAAAAATAAAAATGGCAATCAAAAAATTTAATTAGTAATAACCATCAAAATGAATTATGTAAAATAAATTGCAACCTTCTAGTTATTGAATTCATTTTTTTTTCTCAATTGTAGTTTGACTCGGTGGCATAACAAGTGGATGGTTTAGGGAGTTGTAACACCCGAAATGATTAGTGATGTTTAAATTTTTAATCATGATGACTTTTTTTTGTTCATTCGAGTTTTGTTAAATAACAATTTAGAGAAAAAATTGTGTTGAATTAAAAAAAGGTAACCCTCTGAAAATGATTTTCTGGCTGTACTATAGTTGACAATAAATATAAGCATATATTGTTTGATAAATGTAAGTAAATAATAAATGTTATATTTATGTTGTAATTTATCCTTCAATAGTAACATAACAGTTTCAATTCAGTAAATTTGATTGGCAATCTACACAAAAAAAAAAAAAACTTTTGATAAGACTTTAAGGAAAATATCTTATAGCATATTAGTATAAGTAGTTTTAAATAATATTATTTAACAATTATAGTATATTTAAAAAGAATATATATGCATTAAAACAATAATATAGCGCATAAGTATGTATACTTACTAATGTTTTTTTTTCATAATTTATTTACAATATATCTGTAAAAAAATTAGACGTAACAATATAGCAATACAAATTTTGATTAAATTTAATAAGAAATTAACAATTAATAAAAAAGAATAGTGATGTAACAAACCCTGATATCTGAGATTAAACCAAACTCAAACTGAAATTTTTTTTACATTTAAAACTCGAAACAAAACAATAATTAAAACATTCAAAATAAATGCTTCATTACATAATTACATATCTTATAAATGTTTTGAATATGTGTAATTGTCTTAAAAATAAATCAATCAACATAAGTCATTAGTTTTATTTTTAACCATGTTAACCCCTGTTGTTTGATGTATGTAGTTCGATAATAAAACATAACCATTGAATTAAGAATAATTAATCTCAGTCATTTTTTTTATTATATAAAATAATTTTAGATAAGATTAATTAATAAATTTTTATCATTAAAACAAAAGTAAATTTTTCAAAAAAGATGAAGATGTTCACTGATTACTGATTTATGAACTGTGAAAGCATGTGTTTTCATATTAGATTTCCGTGAAAATCGTCTTAGACAAATTGGACATTGAAACTTAGACGGCGTTCCACATTCGTAGACTACATGTCGACGTACCAATTTCTTACGGTTAATTCCTTTATAGAAACGACCACATCCTTTTGGGCAAGCTAAAAACTCTGCGTTCCAATCTATAATAGCATTCCATGAACCTACATTTTTAAAGAAACGATCAGTAATTTAATATGATAGAAAAACTATATTAGTTCCAAAATTACTACATTTGTCTCAATAAAATCTAAAGAACTATTATAACAAAAAAACAAAAAACAACTTTTCTAAATAAAATACAATCTCTAAATATTTAATAAAAAAAAACACTATATAAAAAAGAAGAAAACAGATTAAAGTCTAAAATTAAAGCAGCAGTATATGTTGTAATATTTTAAAATCACACTCAAACATATCTTTAGTAATGTTTTACAATTAATATGCATTTTAATGTGACTACTTTGGGTAAATAACAGAACAATTCTTAAATGTTGTTAAAAATTATAATGCTATTTAATTCAATAAACATCTATTTATAGTTCAAAATAATGGTAAACATTATATAATAATCACCTAGATTTAAAAAATCTATAACTTTTTTAAATGTACAAACAATTAATTTAAAATATTAACAATGAATTTATAAATAAATAATATTTAACAGAAATAAGATAAAAAAATTTTTCCAACTTATGTTGACTGTTAAACACAATTAAATTGTTTAATCAAATATACTGTGCACCATTTTCATGTGAATTTTCATGTTAGAGTTTCTTGTAAAACGTTTTAAACATACAATGCATCTGAATCTTGGAGGCACACCACACTCATATGTTAAGTGACGTTTCAATAATTGTTTTCTAAAATCACCTTTATACGAACGGCCACATTTGTTAGGGCATAATGCAGGATCTGGAAGGTGATTAGTAAAGATGATTGCTAAAATAAAATAAAGTAATTTTTAATAATATGTAATTATTCATAATATTATTAAAAATTTTAATACCTTAAAATATATTATAAATTATCACAAAAAGTATATTTTTCATGTTTTGGAAAACTTAAAAAGAAGCAAAATAAGCATTAAGTATTTTTAATATAAGCATATTAAGAGTGCTACTTATTTTTGTTCAAACCAGAAGATTAAAGGATTAAAACAATTTGAAAAACAATAATAGTATTTTCATATATGAAATATTCAAATAAAATATAAATATTTAAATTTTAGTTTTAATTAAATTGTTGGAGATTATAATTCCTATAAACTAAAACTATTATCGATTTACTACCAATAAATATAAAACAAAAGCAGTTAAATTAACATTTAATTAATATAAATGTAAGGTAACTGATTAATTTCACAACAAAATATGTATGAAAGTATTAAAAGATTCATATTAACATTTTGTGAATAGATATTGAGTGATTTTTTAAATGTGTTTTCCTAGCAAAACGTTTGAAACAAATTCCACATTGAAACTTAGGTGGTACTCCACATTCATATACCAAATGTTGTCGTAAGTGGGCTTTTCTAAATTGCCCCTTGTACATTTTTCCACAGTTATTTGGGCAGATACATGGATCATCATGAGTTAAAATATCTAATTGACTTAACCATATATTAAGTAAATCTGAAAACAATAAAGAAATACATATAAATCCTGTAAAAATTCAAAAATTCATTTCATTATAGATTATTTTACCAAAATAAAATGTTTAATAAATTAAGTAAAGCAAGAGAAAAGCATTTTAAACGGGAAAAATGAAGTTGGTTGCCGCATTTTTGCCTTAAAAATATTATCTTCTCTAAACATATTTTAACTTTTAATCCATTTTCTCTTATTTAGATAATTATTAGAATTTTTTTTCATCGAATCAATACAGTTATATATATAAATTATTAGTATAATATAGAATATAATTTTAAGGTTAAATAATTTAACGTTTTTATTGGCTAAGCAGTTATATTAATTTAATTACAATACAAATTCAAACTTTTTTTATCAATAGAAGTGTTGTATATAAACGAATTATAATTTTTTTATTAAAAGATTAATCATTTTAATAGGTTTAAACATAACATGCAATAAAAAAATGTATTATGTTATGGTTCTATGAACAGATATTAGATGATATTTTAAACCAGACTTCCTTGCAAAACGTTTGAAACAAATTACACATTGGAATTTATGTGATACACAACATTCGTATTTTAAATGTTGTGCTAAAGATTTTCTTTAAAATCTACCTTTGTATTGCCTTCCACAGTATTTTGGACAATGACACGGATTGGATTGGAATAATACTGAATTGATCTAATCATGTATAATCATTTTCTGTAACAATAATATTTGTATATTTATACAAATAAAAATAATATATGCATCAATATTATTTTTTATTCATGAAATTAGTCCTCCAAAAATAGACATATGCTTTACTTAATATTATTATTAACAGTTCTGTCTGAATGCCTTTAAAGTGCATTCCGCAAAACAGCAATATTATTTGTTTAAATACATTTTAGACGACAGGGTTTGAGTATCTTTAGTAAAAACGATGTTCTCTTTATTTAAATAAAACAATATGATGTGCGATCAATGAATAAAAAAAAAAACAATATTATAGTAGATAGATTACATAGAAATTGCTCGTAAAACGTAATAATATCAACTTAATATGAAAAATAATTCATTTTAAATTTATTTTATTTATTAACAATGACAATTATCTCTAGACATGGACAAAATAGCCTTATTAATAATTTTTCAAGAATTTATAAATAAATATCATTCATAAGTTTTTTTAAATATTTTTTTTTGGGAAAAAAAAATGAAACTGAGAATTTAGTAACAATAAAATATTTACAAGCTTTATTGTACATATACAATATTGTATATAATTGTGTACAAATTACTTATATAAGTAATTTGTTATTTATATAAAAATGTATATTATGAGTAAAAGTAATATTTCCCTATAAATAGAATAGTTTTATAATATAATGTTATGACGACTTATTAAATGACATTTTAAGTTTGTTCTTCTAGAAAAACGTTTTAAGCAAATATCACATTGAAATTTAGGCGTTACTCCAATACGACATTCGTAGACCAAGTGTTGTCTTAAATGAGGTTTTCTAAATTGTCCTTTATACATTTTACCACAATTGTTGGGACAAGAACATGGATTTGATTGAGTAATGGCATCTAGTTGGCTTAACCATTTATAAGATAAATCTGAAAATATATATCTCGATTAATAATGAAAGCTTACATAGAAACTTAAAAAAGTAATATTATGGAAAAGAAAAGTTAAATTTTAATTAGTTATCTACATTATAATGACGTAGAGAAAAAATATTAAATAAAAAATTCTACTTTGTGTTAATTAGTTATGTTTTAAGTTATAGTTCGTTGTAATCAATACACAACATTTCATAATTATGCCGTAATTTGACCACATTATATTTAATTTTAATTCTTAAAAAGACTATGTTTACAAATGTAATTTTTCAACAGAATTTGTTTCAAAAAAATAATAACGTTAAATAGGAATGTACTGTAAGCAAAAAAAAATTATACCAGGAGAAAAGAAATGGATGCATGGAAAATCAGATTTTAGTCTAATAAAACAGGTTATGTCGCTGCTACAGTGCTACTCAAATAATATATTTTCCAATTTTAAACTACTATAGGAGTTTAAAATGTATTTAATAGTTATTAAATAAACATTAGGAAATTGCTCAAAATTGAAATAATTGTCTTAGAACAGTTATATTAAATGTTTAATCATTTTCTTTTTGATGATTTTTATTAAAAAAAAATAATTAATACATTTTTAACAATTAAATTTTATAAAATTTATAAACACATGGAAATGTTTATTACAACTTTGAATATTAAAGTTCGAAAGAAATATTTAATAATTATTAATAGATTTGTTATTTTTTACAATTTTATTTAAGAATATGTCTATGGATAGTTAATAGATGACATTTTAAAGTGTGTTTCCGGAAGAACTTTTTAGAACAAAATATACAATCAAATTTAGGACTGACTCCACAAGCATAAATTATGTGTTTTTTAAGGTTGCGTTTCCGATCATTTCCTTTGTAAGAATGGCCACAGCCTTTTGGACAAAATGCAGGATCATTTCGACTGGCAATATTAAGTAAATTCAAGACTCCATTTATATCTGTAATTATAATCAATAAAGTTACGTCACAATCTAAACGAACATAATAAATTAATGAAAAAATGTGTTGATAATAATTAAAATTATAATTTTTTTATAATTAAACTTTCAAGATTAAAGGACAATTTATTTAATGTTGATTAAAGTAATAAAAATATTTCATACCCTTTCTTTACTCGAAACGATAATTAACATGCTAATATAAAGAGTTACATTTAAAATTTGCTTATACATCAAAGTAGTGTTTTAGATTTATATTTATAAATTTTCCGTAAAATACGGACACTAATAATATTTCAAAATTTAAGCTGTAAAATAATGATAGTGAGTAACTTTCCCAGCTGACTTATAGGTCTGAGTGCATGGGCAGATCTTGCCCACCTTTTTAACAACTATCTTTATAATTTTAAATGTAATTTAAACAAGTTTAAATTTACAAATTTAATTAATATAATTAGATTTTAATTAATTAATATAAATTCATATAAGGTAAATCAGATAAAGTTCCATCATTTATTTCGATTGATCATTTTTTTAGTATGAAATTACATTAATTATTAGGTACATTTTAATTATTTTAAATTAACATGTAACAAATAAAAATTAATTTAGAATCATAAGTATTTTACAAATATTTTCCTCGGAAAAACTAAATGTACATCTCAATTACAATTGGATAGCACAGTGTGATGAATGATGATAAGGTGACTTTTTAATGAGTGTTTGTATGTAAATTTTTTAAAACAAATACCACACACGAACTTTGGTTTAACACCACAGGCGTACATCATATGTTTCTTCAGATTGTGTTTTCGATCGGCCCCTTTGTATGAACGACCGCATCCATTTGGACAAAATGCTGGATCATATTCACTTGCCATGTTTATAGATAAATTTAAATTATGATCTGCAATAATTTTCATACAAATAAATAAAACTTAAAGCACATATATTTATAGAAATTATTATAATTTAGGTGTTTTAGAATATAATATCAGAAATAATTTTACAAATAAAGCAGGAGCAACCTTTAAAATAAGTTTTTATAAATAAAATAATTTTTTTGTAAATTAAAATTATACAACAAAATAGATAAAGTATAATTTATTTTTATCATAAAAATGTACATTTATGTAAATAAAAGATCCGCTATTGATTAGTGCGTAAAATTTAACAACAGGTAGATAAGAATAATTAATATAATTAATTTACAAGTAAATCACAGTCACAGATATCAATTGATATGCTTTCTGTATTGTCAGTTGGTGTATATATCAACTCACAACAATGTACCTTAATACCATTGATAATACATGTTGCGTGTCTACGAATATTGACGTCATAAAAAATCAAATAGCTACCTGTGTTTGTATTTATACCTGTACAAGTTATATTAAAAATTCAAATCCATTTACTATTAACTTAAAAACTCACACATTATATTAATTCAAAATATGTGTCCCATTTAAAAAAAACAAAGTGGACATCCTTACAAGGCATAATGGATGAACTTAAAAAGTATTACAGTTAATAATTCAAGAATAATATGCAACTAAAAATAATCAAAAAAAACGTTTTTACGATCAACAAAAAAAATAAAAGCAAATTATCTTTTATTACATGTTAATTAGTAACATAAAAAAACTTGGATTTATACTATGTAAATAAATAATAAGTAATACAAAATATATTTATTACATTTAATGTTCAAAAAATGATTTTGTGTACGAAAATAGTATGTCGTTTTAAATTTTCATTCCTTGTAAACTTTTTGTAGCAAATTTTACACGTGAACTTCGGGTCAACACCGCATTCTTGTTTTAAATGTTTTCTTAAGTTGCACATACGTTGTGGACCCCTATAAAAGCGACCACAATAGTTGGGACACCGAACAGCATTAAAATCATATTCATCTGAACTAACTGAAAAAGAAAAATTAGCATGTATTTTAAAAATTCATTTTATCGATATGAAACATATATCACGAATTCTCCTAGTAAAAGCTTTAGCAATTTTTTTTGTAATATTACAAAATACTGTTTCGGAAAAAATATTTATAATTACTGTATGTATAACCATAGTTAATGAAATTTTATGTAAAAAAGCAGCCTTTTTATATATGTAACTCGATTAAAAATAATATTAAATTGTACAATTTAAAATAAAAATGATTTCAGTATTAAAATTTTAACTGTTTAATTAAAAAAAATTCTATCTCTTATTAAAAAGCTCATACTAATGTAATAATACAAATGTTTAAATAACCGGCCTACAAAAAACACAACTAATAAAAAATGTTTGATAAAAATATATTATGCTTAGTATATTTTTTTAAAAAGCTAAAAACATTATTAAACAAAATATTTCCAGTCACTTATGAATAAAAATACATAAAATTTAATTTTCTACAATAGTATAACAAATTAACAATTAAAAATAAACAATTTCATATAATAACAAGTTAAACGTAAAAAAAATAATACAGAAATATCAATTATAAAAACATTTTTATTTATGAAATACATTTTTTTAATCTTATAAGTCACAATTTTAATTGACAAATAAATATCTTGTAATAAAATCCATAAATTTAGGTTAGTTTAAATAAGTTTATTAAAAATAGATATTAAACAGTCATAGTTGAATTCTATTAACTACATTCAATACATGATATAATAATATCTAGTAATACTATGACAATGAAACAAAAAATATGACTAGCAATATTTAAAAAAATTTAAATAAACTAATGTTTATAACTACTTATTTAATACAATAACATTTTTTTAAGATTATGTAAATAGTTGGCTTTGAACTAAAGTATTTTAAGACGATAGTTTAATACCATTTATAAGATCAATAATATTTGTTAGAGAGCCAATTTAAAAATTATTAAAATGAATTAGAATTGGGAGATAGGTCATCATTTGACTTGTTTGGATCGAATGGATTCATTCTATGCACATTAACCAGGTGTATTTTTAGTTGATACTTGCGGAAAAATCGTTTTTCACATACAAAGCACGGAAATCTCGGTAAAACGCCACACTCAAATATGTGCCGACGCAAATTCACCTTTCGGTGTTGACCCTTGTAATATCTGCCGCATTCATTTGGACAATAAGCTGGATCATAAACCGCAGCCTCGTCTAAACGACGATGGATATTGTTTTGTTCTGAATAGACATGCAAAAAATCAAAAACTCAATTAATGCATCTCAAAATTAACAAAATTAAGTTCGTTAAGCCATCACAAAAGTTTAAGTAATTTAAAGTAATACAATTGATGATCTTTTTGAGTTATTTACGTAAACAGTTCTTAACAAGGTAGGAATTGCTAGGACAAGGTTAATTTTTTTTTTTTTTAATTTAAAAATAAAAAAATGTAATGTAAAAGCAATAGTATTATTTTTAACCGAAGTTAAATTAAGTATTTTTTAAAACTTAAAAAAATATTATTGTTTAATTTTATGTAAATAAAAATACGTTTTTATGTTTTTAAAATAATTTACTTTAACTTAATTAAGAAGTACAGATATCAAATTTAATTAATTGCTGTTTTTGGTGGCTGCATGATTTTGTGAACAAACACCATATGAGATACCATTACATTATTTCTAGTAAAAGATCTAGAACAAATATGACACCGAAATTTAGGCGGTACTCCACACTCGTATACACAATGTTTTCTCAAATTTCTTTTTCTATATAGTCCTTTATAAAAACGACCACATCCATTTGGACAGTAAGCTGGATCATTAGCAGAAGCCATTTCAATTTTCATTTGGAATTCTGAAAAATATTAAAATAAATTGATGTTAGAATTATTAGATGAAATACAATCCTTGGAACACAACGACATATAAGCTGACAGGCGCACAAGTACGCAACAAATATGTTTATATTTAATTTTTTTTCAATCGAATAAAACCATATAGTATTTAACACGTTATAGAATTGTTTAAACGTCTTAGATTTTTATATTATGATTTGTTTGACCAAAGATAACTGCTCAAAACTGTACATTTTTGTCACCTTCAACTATACTACATTTTTAGGATCTTTTAATACACATAATTTTTTAATATTTTAATTAAAAAATAATAATAATAATATTAACTAAATGTCATATAATATAAATGTGTATAATATGATTGCGATAGATTTTTTTTTGAAATATTAAACTGAATGTAATGATAAGTAAGTGATTACACATTTTATTTTTTTTAAACCTAAATCTTAGGGTTAATAGCGTCAGTTAATAAAAAAAATATTATTAAAGCTACTTTATTATAACAGAATGCCGGTTAGCTAAATGTAATTTTAAAGATTCCTTTCTAGTAAATTTCTTATGACACAAATTACATAAAAATTTTGGTTCTACTCCACAATGATATCTTAAATGTTGTATCAAGGTGTTCTTCTTGTTAGGCCCAAGGAATTTTTTTCCACAGCCATTGATACAGAAAAGTACATCTATAAAAAAGGTCTACAATTAATAATTAGGAGGAATTAAAAATTTGTAAAAATAAAAAATATAAAACTGAAGTAATGTGCTAATAAAAATGCACATTTTAAACTTTTTATAATTTAAAATATTACATGACATATTCCTTAGTGTTCATAGTGTACAATTTTTATTTATGAAACATTTTCTTATGAATACATGTTTTTTTATAGAAACTAACAGTTGATAGCTATAGCATGTTACAGCTACTTTATGTGTAATTTGTATGTATATAAATTACACAAAAGGTAGTATATACATTTTTATTTTAATATCTAGCACTCCGTATTATCAAAGTACTATATTAAAATATAATTTTGAATAAAAATATTGAAAAAATGAAATACCTAATTTTTTAAATAGTTTTTTCAAGAAGTAAAGCACCTTAATCTATTAGTGGAATAAAACAGTTATTATAAAACTACGACCATTGGTTAAATAAAAAACCAATATTTCATTATGTTTTCAAATTTCTTTGTTTTAGTTCTCAAAGGTAAACGTGATTTTTTAAATTTTTATGTACGTCAAATTATAATTATACTAATTAGACTTACTACTCTTAATAAAAACTATTAGTTTTACTTTAAAAATAGATGAAAATAAAGATAGTGAAAAAAAAATACTACAAATTTATGTCATAAGACATAAATAATATTTGTATATTAAAATTATATTTACTCATAATTAACACACATTTAAAACAACACATTTAATAAGAAAATAACATTCAAATATTGAGCACAAATTTGTACATAATTATGTCAAAGTATAATCAGCTTATTGTATTTAAAAACATCGTATTTTTATACAAGTATAAACTAGAGTTATAAAAATAAACACAATTAATCATAATTCATCTAAGGAGTTATATTTTATCAAATTATATCGTCAACTTATAGAAAGATTTTAATTATACCTACTCATTTTCAATAATATTTTTATATTTTATAACACAATTTCATATTTTGTAAGGTTCATTTTTTATTTTCATACTTTCAATACTATTAAATTAAAAAACATTAATAGTAACAATAAAAATGAAAATTCCTAAAATATGCATTAAAACATTCATGCGATCCTTCTTTAAGCCAACGATGTATGATTAAATATTAAAGTTATCCTTAATTGGGTAACTGTATTGAAGGGTAACAAATCCAAAATCTTATTATTAAAAATAATTTTTATTTATCTATCAACATAATAATACAAACAATAATGGCAAAAATATATGACACAAGATGTAAGACGACAGAAGTCGAATGAATGTCTTATTAGTTTCACATAAACGTCTAAAAAGTTTATCAGTATATACCCAAAACATTGTATAAAAACTTTGATTGGTAATAATAGTATGGTAACTAATAGTATTAACAAAAGCAATGATTTAAATACTATTTTAAATTCTGTTTACATTTAAATTGAAAAATTATTTATTTACAAAAAAATATATATAATAATAATAATCACGAAGAACATCACAAATAAAAATTGTTCATACTATTAAAATAATGCTACTAATCAGCTATAACTTAAGCAAAATAAATCTTTATAATGAATAAGCAAAATGTAGTTCTCCTTAATAGGACCACAATTAAACTATAGACAAAGATTGAATATTATTTGAAAATATGGTTTTGGATGTAAATCATTCGTAGAAAATTTTCAAAAATTTTAGTTATAATATTTTAAGCTGAATAAAAAAACAATTTTTTTAAAACAATGCGTCTTAATTTGATAACATGATTTTACTAAGCCAACATTAATGATGCATATTATTATAGAAAGATGAGACAAATTAAAAGTGAATAAATGTAACAAATTACTACGTTAATTATAGTTATTAATGACGTACTTTACAAAAATATACATGTATAATAACGAAAGTAATTATTTTTTTTAATAATATTTATATTATTAATCAATGATCATTTACTTTTTGGATACAAGTTAGGACATACTACTTTAGTTAATAATAATACTATCCTTACGGTATTTTAGTGGAATCTAGTATGATTTTGTGAACAACTAGCAAATGCATTTTTAAATTAGCTTTTAAAGAAAAACTTTTCGGACAAGCCGGACATTTAAACTGAGGTTCAACACCACATTCAAACTTCAAGTGCTTCTGTAAATTGTATTTTCGCCATATACCTTTGTAACATCGACCACAGTTATTTGGGCAATACGCAGGATTATCTTTAGCCCAAACAACACTTCTTTTTAACCACTCATCTAAAAAAAAAAAAAAATTAATTAACCAATAAATAGTAAAAATGTTAAAATTGTACTGTAAACTCAAAAAAGCTGCTTTATGTTAAACAATTAATAAAATTCATTCATTCATAAAAGAAATATTACATGAAAATAATTGAATGAGATCATGGTTAGATAAAATTCAAATAATTAGTAATTGAATGATTAGTAAAAAAAATGACAAATTTATTTGCAGTGAAAGAGCTGAAAAAAAAAAAGACAGTGAAAGATTATTAATGAAAGCACTAAGTAACAATTGTAAAGAAACATTATATAAAAACGGTATTTTTTTTTTTTGCATCCATTTTTTACTAAAAAGAACTTACACAACATAATAATATAAAAAGTTTTCTGTACTTATCATAAATAATAGTGAAATATAATATAAAATATAACAAGATCATTTGATGAATTATTTTATGACTAAATAAAATATATTTTAGCTATAATACGTATTAAATATATTAAAATATTGCGAGTATATATTAAAAAATTGTGATAAATATAGTTATAAATTTTATAGATAGAAAAAAAAGAAGGATAAATTAAATTTAAATAAACATGTAATCCTTGTTTATTTATTTTTAATTAAATTGTTAAAAAAATTGAATAAGGCATTATGTAGTCTTTTTTAAGCACATAGTTGAAAATCTTCGGGTAAATAAAGGATTGTAATCTTGACTTATATTTTCTTCAGTCAAAAACATAGAACCTAAAATAATATAAAATTTATATTAGAAATTTTAACATTAAATATAAATAATCTATGAATCAAAATATTAATGAGTTATAGATTTACATTTCGAACTTTAGCACATTAAAGTAATAATAATTTCGAACAAAATTATAAAATACAACAAATGTGTTTTAACAATATTTATTGTTTTTTATTATATTTTCTGAACAATATAACAAATCTAACAATTATTAAAATAAAAACATATAATTTAACCAATTAAATACAAACTATTAATATCAAATAGATTAAAAATTGTCTAAAATGACTGGAGATAAAGATGATTTTTGAAATTTTCATTGAATGATAAATTTTTATAGTAAAAATTACATTAATTGTATTCATAAATAAATAAAACTATCTAGAACGTTATGAAAAAAAAAATTATCGTTACAAAATTTATTTCCTTATATCCAGGATGGAAAAAATAAATATAAGCCAGTCAATTAAAATTTTGCAAATAACAATAAAATCTATATATTACTTCAAATATTTGTTTAATCTTTTGAATGCCCTAGGGTGTACTTTTCTGAGAATAAAATACTACTATTATTTGAATTTTTATATTTATTATGATTTATCTCTAAAATACTAATCTATTGTATAATAATGTACTATTTGAAAATTAATTCAATTTTAAATTATATTCAAAATACATATTAATATTCATATAATGTTAATACTTCAACATTTAATCGAAAACCAGATGAATCGTTCGCAAATGTTTAACTAGACCCCTTTTATTCGCAAATGTTTTGAAACAAATGGAACATTGGAAGCTTGAACAAATAGTTGTGCAAGTACTCGAATGATTAAGATAATGTTCTAAGTTATTAAACACAGTTTTACAATTAACACAGGGATAAGACTCTACACTTGTAGTAAGAGATACATTTTTTTTATTATCCTCTCTTAAAGGCTGAGTTTTCAATAATTCAGCCTCGATGTTTTGAGGAATGATTGTTTGTGGAATCACTGTCGGTGTTTCCAATAACTGACGCAACACTGAAAATATTTAATTAAACTTATTAAAATACGCTTCATTTATTTCAGTATCAGTAAAATTAACACTAGTTAGTAGATAATAATAAACCAAGTTATTACAAGCATTTAAAATGTAATATACCAAAGATTTACTTACAATTCATGACAGATGAAGGTCATAACAAAAAGTTTAATCAGTTATAAGTAAATCATTTGTTATAGAAACACAAAGCACAGATTATTTTTTTCAAGTAAAAATATTAGCAATAATTTTATAAAAATAAATAAACTATTAAATCTTAACATTTCATTTCATTTGTACAATTTCAATCGATTGTGTTATTATGTCAGAATAAAAAACAAAAATTTAATGAAAGTATCTTGGTTTTATATATAATACAATTTTAATTAAAATATTCCTTAATTATATTTGATTATATACTGAAATCTATGTATGAGGGTTATATGTTTGAGCATAAATTTTATTATAATATTGACACTAATGCACAGATATCAAAGATTTCATAAAATTGAATAATACAACTAATCAATTTAATATAATGTTTTAAAAATTTCATTGATTATGCAGTCAACTATAATTATAATTATTCGGGTAATACAATGAAGATTTTAAAAACTTACTACTGGAGAAAATTTAAAATAAAGTAAAGCTATCTAATTTTATAAATTATATAATATTATTAATATAGAAAAATAACACGTTTGTATTAAGTAAAAATAAATTTTATTACTAAAAAAATAAAATTAGTACAATTTTAGTTATCTACAAGTTAACTTTAAAATATTTTGTGAATTAATTGAATGCTTTTTCAATCCATCTTTCCGAGAAGAGCGTTTTAGGCAAGGAGTACAGTGAATTTTTTTAAGGGCCCATTCTATTTTTTTATGACTGTTTAACTCGAAAGTTCATCTTAAACTTTGACCACAATTATTTGGATAAAACAATTTCAATTTAAATCAGTAGTTTTCTGAAATAAATAAAATTTTTTAAAAAATTGAATTATTCTTAATTAAAAGACATTTTTGTAAAATTACAAATGACATTAATAGTATCTTAAGGTATCTAAATACATAATTACAAGTCTATCACAGCCATATTTTCTTTTAAATAATTATTCTAACGTCAATTAAAAAACTTCACGACTATTTTTAGATCAGATAAAAGCATATTAATTACATACTTCTTTTATTTCATTTTTTTTCAATCAATAGTAAGCTAACAAATAAATTCAGACTATTTCAATTTTATTTTATATAATTCAAGAATATTTTAAGATACAAATAGTATGAATAAATCTCAATTTTCAACGATTAAAAAAATGTATTAGTCATTTTATATTTTAACAAACATTATATTATTAAATGTATGAAATAGTATAACAAAATTATTATTAAGTATATGCTATTTTAACCAATTTTAATAAATACAATATAAAAATAAAGCTATAAAAACAACTATTGTTTTCAGTCAAAAAATGTAACATTTTTAGTCTTATCTGTATGTTCTTCGATTAAAAACTATAAATTAATTTATAAAATAAAAATATTTATTTATAATTGTTTTAGCAAAGTGAAAGTTTAACATAAATATAAAAATAAATAGAAGTATTTAATAATACTGTTAAACAATTTATACATATATAAAGTTTTACATATTATTTTAAAATGAGGTAGAAAAGAAAGAACCGGATTTAATAGGAAACATTTAAAATTAGTAAAATTTCCAAAATTTCCTACTTTTAGAGATCTTTTGATAGAGTGAGAATATTACTTTTGAAAACATCTGACGTGTTATCACAAAAAATAAAAACACTTTTATTGTAGCCATTTCACGTAATTATTATTTAAGACCCTTCATTACAAAAACATTTTTTATTTTTCGGCACAGTAGGAACACATAACTATTAAATCAGTCGAATAAAATATATAAAAATTATTTTGCAGGACGGTGGAACAGTAATATTTACTACAATTAAAATAATAAATCATTGAATAACAATTGAACGCATTTTTTACAAAATAGTAATAATAGCTCACAAATATTTATAAAACTAAAAAAAAAGATTTTTTAAATTACTGGCCTTTATTAAAAATAAAAAACAGCAAATGACTGGTAAACAGATAAAAGTAGTATAAAAATGATGAGCAGAAATCTGCGATGGTGTAGTCACAATTATATAATACAAAAAAAAGGAGGAATATAAAATATTTGCTGTGTCATTGACTTTTTAAATATTCTATGTTATTATATAATAAAGGATAAATTTTGGGTTTTCTAAATTTTCAAAGTCGTGAGATCCAAATATTTGAGACTAAAATTGGAAAACTCAGAAAAAATCTTTTCATTGTTTTATATAATAAAACAGAACACATTTTTATAGTAAAATCAATGGTACAGTTTCACTTTTATTTTTTAAACAAAATTGTTTGATTATTCTGTATTTGTTGCTTTGATAAATTTTAACAAATCGTCTTTTTAAATAAATGCATATTAACGATTTGTTAAAATTTAATTTAATCTAACTTTTTACAAATAATAATATTTGCAAAAAAAACTTCAAAAACATATGCATTGAATGAACTTTAAAGCGATAAGAATCGTCATTTACGGTTACTTCAATTTCTTTTTTTTAGAAGTTCATTTTGAAAATATAAATTATTTATATAATGGTAATAATAAAATAAAATAGATAACTTGATATATTTTAATTTAGAAAAAGTGATGATACACTTCGAAAATTTATTTTCAAAACTGTATCATCACTTCAAGAGTTTTAAGATTCTTAATAAAAGCCAGTAGAAATTACAAATAATAATAAAATACAAATTATTAGGTTTTTAGTTGTCCACTGTGGCCAATTCGTTGTAAACAAAATGTATTGTATTATTAAAAATTATTTAGTCATTCGACTCGCTTATAATATCTTTGTGAACTAATCCCATGTGTTTCTTCATACTAAAGTTATAAACAAATTTGCGTTGACATACACTGCACTGGTACTTGGGTTCAACACCACATTCGTAAGATATGTGCCGTTTTAGATGTTCCATACGCTTATAGCTACGACCGCACAATTTAGGACACATTATTCGTTGCAGATAGCCGATTTCTCTGGGCGCAGGTGGAGGTAGCATGTAATCTAAAAAAATGGCGAAAAATCATGAAGATTATGATTACGGTTTTAGGAATACATTAATGGAACACAGACGAAGAAAAATGATTAACAATAAAATCAATACAATGATACATAATACATAGTAACGTATAACATTAATTAGTACTACAGTGACGTAATGCAAGCCAAAGGCTATGATAAAATACTGAAAAATTTTAATTGGCCGGAAAAGATATTTTTTAATTTTTGACTACTGTCTCTTTTCTACAGTAAGTTTAAAAAAGCAAACTACAATTGTTTATTAATTTCATCAATCTGATATAATAAAAATTGAAAAGAAGAAACAACATTTAAATAAGCACAATGGTTGATCATTACTAGTTCTACAAGAAAAGCATTATAGATTATAACTGTAGTAGGTTTCTCGGAATAATAAAGTAACAAAAATAACATAATATAATGATAATATTGATAGAAATTTTATTAATACATAATTTCTTAATTTTAAACAAACGTTTTGAAAATTTGTACTGTTGCATACATACAATATACACACGTTTATATGAAGAAAATGGATACTTCACACAAGTCAGTAGTAAGCTAATTCTTAACCCAATGTTTGCATTTTACGTGCTTCCTCATGTCACTGTTGTGTTTGAACATTTTATTACAATGTGGGCAACTGAACCGCGGTGCTACCCCACACTCATAATATAAATGTTGATTAAGTCCGTTTTTGTATTTGTAAGAACGACCGCAATCATTTGGGCATTTCAAACGGCCTGTAAGTCATAAAGGAATATTAGTAAAGGTCTTCAAACCTTTTTCATTAAATTGTTCCAATGACTGTAATTATATGAATCATTTATATTGAAATAAGAGTAACGTTGGAATAACGCTATAAAACTGTAGTCATTTTTCACTTATCCGGGAGTCGGCTAGTTTTTGTACATTTACACATAGTTCACAAAAATATATGTTGCATATCATTTTAACTATACTCAATGAATGTTGAAAATACCAATTTGTCAATATATTAATTGCGTGCACCCAAGAAAGCTAAGATAAAGTAGATTAAATTAACAAAATTTCTGCACAAGTTACCAAAGGAAACTAAGGAGAACATTTAAAAAGAAATTAAACATTTATTTATAGCTAAACACATGTAAAAGATCTTTCATACATAAGATACGTTTGATTAATATTTAACCATTACCACTAAAGAGATAAAATACTTAATAATAAAATTACAAAATAATCTATCAATAATAAAAGTAATAAAACAGTATTAAAAATTTTGCCAAAATAAATTTGGAACTGTCTTCACATTATTTGATTGTTCTTTTTTTTAATGGTGTGCACTAGTACTATGTGTCTTTTCAGGTTAGCCTTCAACGAACACTTTTTTGTACAATGTGGACAGGCATACATAGGTGGTTTGCCACACTCAAAACGCAAATGTTGACTCAATCCCTGTTTGTATTTATATGACCGACCACAATTATTTGGACAAATCAATCGGACTGGAAATAATAAAATAGCAATTATTAATAATTTATAATTAAGCCGCATAATTTCAAATGGAATAGAAAAATTCCATTATACCAAAGCTGACATGATATAATAAAAATAATTAGAAAACCCAAAAAGCTTACTGAATAGTTAACTATTATAAAACTTAAAAATACTATTACTCGTGCAACTATATTTAAAACTATTTTAACATATTTAACTTTGAGTATTTATTCATCATGTGAGCAAAACCAATGGTTATAAAAATTACTTTAAGAAAGAATATATATAAAATTATAAAGAGGTTGATAGAGTATCGAAAATTATAAATTCTATCATTGTATTATATACTAGGAAAAAAAAAGATGAGTCTTTTGAATACTTAATCTCCTCTTACATTTAACTGAAAACTTTAAGTTTACAGTATTACTATAGATGAATACATTTTATTCAAGTTAGTGCTTTAATTATTATTTTATACATATTGATTCTTTGACTATAAGGATTATAAGAAACATAGCAACTATAATTAGCCAAATTTGAAAAATAGCTTTTGCAATAACTAAATGAACTATAAATTAAATTATGTATTTTAATCATACAATGGTAAATTAAATATTAAAAAAAAAGCAATATATTGATATTTTTATATCGCAATGTTGTAGGAAGAATTTGTAAGCAATTATTGAATGCCCAAGTATTACATTTGGGTATTGGTAAAAATTTTCAAAATTATAAGCCAAACAGAAATAAAAAATTATTAATTTAGGTATATAAATTTTTATTTAAATATAAGTTTTATTAAAAAATGTATAAGCTTTAAACAATATCAAAAATAAAAATGTATGTGTTTTATTTTGTATTAATACACATACTGTAAGTGATGATTGAAGAACTTCCATTGAAAATGAGGTAAATTTCAGTAATTATTTTTTATTTTAAAGAACTATTTTACGAATTTAAAGTAAGTTAAAATAATGTTTATTGAACGAACTAACCAAACAAATTTAAGTCATTTAGCTTTGAGCCACATATTATTCTAATTTATACTTTTAAAATTCTAATGATTACCTCATTTTTAATGACAGCTTAATTATTATACAATATTACTCAAATTAAGTCATTTTATCATTTTTATAGAGATTTAAAAAAGTTACAAATTATAAATAAATATAGGATCTGTGTTTATACAATTATGAACTAAAATAATATGCTTTTTTAAGTTTGATTTCACAGAACTTTTCTTTTGACAATGAGGACAAGCGTACATGGGCGATTTACCACATTCATAACGGAAATGATGGCTTAAACCTTTTTTGTATTTATAGGACCGTCCGCAACCATTTGGACACACTAGACGTTCTAAAAATAATAGGATAAGACAAATTAATAATATTACAAAGTAATTTTTTTTTTAATTAAATCTTTTTTCATTACTAAAAATGGTTGATAGACAATATAGAAAGTAAGCACTTTATAAAAATATAAAAACACTTAATGTGTAGAGTAAGTTATTTAGCTCTATAGTCATATAGAATAATGATAATTCTAATGCTAATAAAATTTTAAACATTTTTATTGAAAAACTTGTATGACAATACAAACACATGTCAATATACCATAGTATTAAAATTAAAATAATATATAAACAATACATAACAAACTACATTTCTAAATTTAAAATTGGAGACTTAATGCATTTATGAATTAATATAATATGCTTTTTAAGATTCGATTTAACATAGCTTTTTTTATTGCAATATGGGCAAGCATACATAGGTGTCTTCCCACATTCATAATAGGTGTGTTGATTTAAACCTTGTTTGTACTTGTATGAACGTCCACAACCATTTGGACATATTAATCTACCTAAATAAAATAAGAAAATAAATTCTGAAAAAATAAAAAACTATAATTTATTTTAAAAAAATTAGTGAACAAGCTTTAAAGACAAAAAAAAATTAATTAAGTTAAACCCGAAAAAAGTATAATTGATTTTTAAAGACTAATTAATTAAGAATAAATAAAATTAACCCAACATCATAAAAAGTACCTGAAAAAATTTGGATATGGGGGTATTTCTAAAACTATATTTAGATCATCAGCATCGGAATTTGTTTGGTCTTAGATTTTTTTTTAGGTGATTCTTGTGGTGTTGGATAAATTTAATTTATTTTGAAATTTTAAAATATTATTTATGAACATAAAATGACAATGAGGTATGTAATTAAAATGTCTTCGTAATCATTATATATAAAAAAAATGGAAGACCTTTTTGTTACTTTTTTAATATCATGTAAAGGAAAAATCTCGACAAATTGCAAGATTTTTTTGAAAAGGCATATATAATCTAGTTTGGTTAGAGCACCAGAAATAATTACTACGGCTCTGTTCAGATTCGAGTTGTCTTAAATCAAATCATATTTCGTTATGTATTATATAATAGAAAAGAAACTCAATTAGCTGTAACTCTTAGTTGGCAATCATTATGAACAATTGCAAATGGACCTTATTCGCCACAAAATACGGAATAAAGTCGTCTTCAAAAAATAATTTTTTTGTATGTTTATACTTGGTATAAAATTTTTATTGTAATAATAATGATACTTGAAACATTCTTCATATAAAGAAAATAAAATATAATTTTAAATTAAAAATTAGACCTTGAATATTTTATTTTTTGATAAAATGTACCATTTATTAATCTGTTACTTCATGTTCATGGCAAAATTTTTATTAACCATTATAGTCTGGATCCCGATGAAAGGGCTAATCAAGTTTCTGAAGTTCTATATATTTTAGCCTATCAATATCGTTAGAAACTCAATTTCTTAATTAAAAAAACTATTGTTTAACTTAATGGTTATATTGGAGTAGCCAGACAATCCTATAAAGTTCTTATCGTATTTCACATTCTAATCGAGGTGTTGAGTCCAAATCCAAAATTGTATAAATTATAATTTAAATCATTTACAGTAAAATATAGATTTCACCGATAGAAATTTAATATATTAAGTAGAAAAGTTTAATTTTGCTCCATACAATCTATTATTTTAATATAAAAGTAATATAATAATACGTTTTCATTTTAGTAGATAACTTTATAAAAACAAACTGGTAAAATAAGTAAAACATCACACATATCTTAATTATACATTTAGTATTAGCGGATTAGCCACAGTATTATGAATCACAGCTATATGTTTCTTTAAGTTGAATTTCAATGAACTCTTCTTGTTACAATATGGACACGCATATTTAGGTGATTTGCCACATTCATATTTAAGATGACGCATGAGATTACCTTTAGTCTTATAACTTTTATAACAGTTCTGGTTTGGGCATGTAAATAAAGAATCAACTATTCTTTTGAGATAACCTGAAAATTTAAAAAAAAAAATGTTTGTAGTACACAGCTAAACAAGCCACTACTTCAAATAAAAAGATGCATTTTTTAAGTTTTAAAAAAAATATACAATCAACTAGAGTACTAAAGAATAACTATTTAGTAAAAAACATAGAATTTCTAATCTCTTTTCCAAATTATTAACAAATTTAAGATGTTAGTTAATTTCTTAAAACATAATATAGGAAATCACTAAGATATTTATTTCTAAGTCCATATGTTATTAACATTTATCAGGTTATATACGTAAAAATATGCAGTAAGCAATATGGCTTGTATAAAAATTTTCCATAGATGTAAAAAAACTCCACAGAAACTTGATAAAAAAAAAAAAAAAAAAACTCAATTTGTTAGTTTAAAGATTAGATAAAAATCAATTTTTTGTTTATTTTTATATCTTGTGTTAAACATTATATTGAGAATAATTTGAATAACATTAAAACAAAATTTATGAAAAAACAAATCAAGTACCATTTTATTAAAAATTAGTTAATATTGAATAAATTATAAGATTTCCTATAAAAATTCATTTTTTAATTTTGGAAGTCTTATTATAACTTGTTCAATATTAAAATAATATCTATGGTTTAAGATATAAAACTAACTAACTAAACCAACTAACCAAACTAAATTATAAACTCATTTTAGCCATTTAGCTTCGTACCATGGATTACTATAATTTTAAAATTCTGACGATTACTTTATTTTTAATTACAGTTCAATTATTATGCAACATTACTCGAATTAGGTCAGATTATCAATTTCAGTACAGATTTTAAAAAATTACAAATTAGAAATAAATATAGGATCTGTGTTTATACAATTATGAACTAAAATATGTATTTTTTAAGTTTGATTTCACAGAGCTTTTCTTTTGTTATTGAGGGCTTGTCCTCATATGGACGAATTACCATATTCATAACGGGACTGATGGCTTAAACCTTTTCTGTAATTATAGGACCGTCCGCAGCCATTTGGACACACTAGACGTTCTAAAAATAAAAAGATAAGACAAATTAATAATATCATAAAGAATTTATTTATTTTTAATTGAATAAATTGTAACGTAAAAAAACTTTTTGAAATAAAAAATATATAACATTATACTACTTTTTTTTAAAAATAATTTTGTTTTATATTGGAAGTCTTAATACCTAATACCTATATTAAAATATCTGTGATTTAAGATGTGAAAATAAACAAAAAATTGATTTTTACCTAAATTTTAAGCTTTCAAATTGGAAAATTTAGTATTTTTATAAAAATGTCTATAGTTTTTTACACTAATATATGGTAGCTATCATAGCAATATGGACAAAATATAAAAATAGTGTAAGAACTCTAATCCAGTCTATTATTTACATTGAATAGAATATGGAATATAAGTTCTAAAAGCATTAATATAGTTTACATGGGAATTACGAGGAATTCAGACCTCATAGAAACATTTGTAACTCCTATGAATAACAATAATGACTAACCCCAAACTGTCAAATAGATGAGTGAAACTCAATTAAGTTTTAACACTTTTTTAGTGATAAAAAATATAGATGTCCATAAACCCAGACATCACTTTATCATTGATCACAACGATTTTCTAATTCAGTTTAGACTATATTATCAAAATATTATTGTTAATTATTTTTACAAAACAATTCAATTTAAAATGAACATTTTTTAAGATAATTAGTTAAGAGAGGTGTGTGAAATTTTAATAAGTGTTCCTCCAAAACAGAAATGTTTGTTAATTTTGTTGGACATAAAGGGCAAAGTTTTGTAATTTTGCAATTTTTTTTTTCAGTTCTATAGTTTGGATACCAGTAATCTGAAATGTAATAATTATGTTTTTAAATCTCACAAATTAATATTTATAGTTAAAAAAATTAAATTAGTTAAACATACTATACTAAGATAATTATTTTACGCAGTAAGCAGTGTATTATTTATTTCTAAAAATATAATTTATCACAATAAAATTAAAAAAAGCCAGACACAACTAAAAAAATATAAAATAAAAATATATTTAACATATTTTCATAGATAACTATATTATTTTATTCAGCTATAATATAATTTTAATAATTACCAGGGTTCAACTTTTCCCACTCGTTTAAAGAAAATACTATGTTAAAAAATGATTTGATAGTTATTAAACATTATTTTATTTTTTAATTCTAATTAAAAATATAATTAAAACATTTTTAGTATTAGAATTAAATAAGTTAAAGTTTGTCAAAATCTAACTTTCTATGAAAACTCTGTTATTATTATTATTTTTTTTTTTAACTATCGTATATAACTATATTCAAAATTTTTGAACCTATTTTGACCTTAAGTTTTACTATAAAAACATTAGTAGTAATCTAATAAAATGTTTATTAAAATTACATTTGGTGTATTCAAATAATTTTTTAATAAGACACCAATATTTAAATAGTCAGTTGGAATGACATAATTAATAACAATATGTTTAAGATGATATTTTATTGTGTATAGTAGCCATATGAACACATTCTTATAAGTAAAACTCTTAGGACAATCTTCACATACAAATTTCGATTGAACACCCACATTCATATCTCAAGTGTTGACGAACTCCACAGAGATCTTTATAACTACAGCCACATTGGTTAGGATAAAAAATTTTTCCATTGTACGATTCAGGTGAATGTTTGTTATTCACTTTATTAAAATGGTTAGAATTTCCTGTAAAATTATAAAATAAAGATTTTTTAAAAATATCTTAAATAATCCATTCACATATATCAACCCTTATTTTTAATTTATGCTAAACAAAATTCACCGATTTACCCAATTATAACATTTGAAAATAAGCTTTAAAATATATTAAGTTATTATGTATAATTTTTTATACTTGAAAGAACATTAACATAATTACATAAAAATTATTTAAATAAGTATTACATTAATACTTCAAACTGTTAAGTTTCATTAAAAAAAAATTATTTATTAATTATATTTAATATGTAAAAAAAATAATAATAGATGTGTAATGTAAAAGTACAATTACTAGAAAATAATAATTTTAAATTATTAAGATGAACAGTATAAAGATATTAAAGAAAGGCGGCTTTTCATGGATTACTTTATAAAAATAAAACATTAAAACCCAGTAAATATTAAAAAAAACATTTGTAAATTTTACTCAATATTTTTACACTGAAATTATTATATATATATATATATATAAATTTATTTTAACATTTTTACAAATTTAATTAAACTTGTGGTATATAATATATTAAAAAATAAAACAATATAAAATATAAAGAAGTAAATAAGATTTACAAAGTATAGAATAAAATAACATTTAATTTAAATTTAAATTAAATTATACTATGCACGAAAAATAAAAAGTCAATTCTAGTAAAAAATAGTGGACTAAACTAAAAAAATAAATATTCATTAAATAATTAATCGTTCGTTGGAACGCAACAACTTTTTTTTAGGAGTTCAAGGAATGTGCTAGCCGTTGATGTTTTTTGACGGAATCAGATCTGGAATATTTTTTCCCGCAGTATTCGCATTCAAAATCTAAACCACAGAATTTGAAGTGTTTGGCATAACTTGGTTTTTTATCATAGCTTCGTCCACATTTTGGACAAGAGTAATAAACTTCTGTAATTAAAATTATTAAAATATAATAATATTAAAGATAATAATGATGTAAATAATAATGTTTTGTTTATAACGTTATACTTTTAACCATGTAGAACTGCAATGCAAGGGAGTTATATACCTAAGCAGAATGATTATAACTAATATAAGTTTTTTTATTTTTAAGTAATCTTCAATATTACAAACTTTAAACAAAATAATTGGTTTTATCTTAATTAGTTTTCATTGATAGTTATTTTATTATAAAAGGTTTTTATAAGGTTTATTAAAAGTGAAATGATACTTTTTTTTTATGGCTGTTAAGCAGCAAGCTAATTAAAGATGATTGCACTAATGTGGTTCCTATTTTGATATTTATTAATTTAAATTTAATTTATAAAAGTGTATTGAAAAACACTTTAAATTAATATGTCACAAACTTTTTTTAATAGTAATATATTTCATAAATATAAAGTTAAGTTTATTCAATTACACGAAACGAATAAATAATTTAATAAAAAATAATTATTTAGAAAAATATTCGTGTTATGGTATGTTATATAATCATATATAGAACCTTAGATAAATAAAAAGTGAACAAATAAAAATAATAAGTCGGTTAATTCTGTTATTTTAGTAACGTTACTTTATTAAATATCTTATAACATTATTAAATTAATTATATTGTTTTACATTCTATGATTCACACCTTAAATTTAATTTTAGACACGTATAATTATATCATAGCTAAATCATGTCAAAAGGATAGATGAATTTAGATATATTTTTATTAATAAACGATATAACTATGAAAAAATATTCATTTTTATGTAACTATACATTCATAACATTTAAAATAAATATATTCACGCATTATTTAAAGAAAAAGGGTAAAATTCTTATTTTCTTAAATATAAAATCACAATTACTTTTTAAAGGGAAAAATTTCGAGAATTTAAAAACAATAAATTAATTCTAAAAACAAATTTTTAATTGTAAAATTTTTAACAATCAAATTTTAAAACATCAATGTCTTGTGAACTGTTACATTGTGACGTATAAGATTTTGTTTTTGTGTAAATGGACGACCACAAAGAGTGCATACAAACTTAGGCTCCACACCACATTCGTATTTTAAATGCGAAGTCAAACTGGGACGGTATTTGTATTTTTTACCACAGCGTGTACAGATAAATGAGTCCATATCATCTGTGTGACATCGTAAATCTGAAAGAAACCGTATAGGTCGTATGCATCATTATACCTTTGAAATTATTATTTTTAATTGAACTTTGATAAATAAATTAATACTACATTTTGTTTGGCGAAACTAGAACATAGTCCTGAAGAGGGCATACAAAGAAAAATTTTCACTGAACCTCCAAATGAAAAATAAATTGTATTACCCTCGTTATCTCTATAAAAACGCGTCAACATTAGATTTTTAATATTGCTTTGAACGTAACAAATAGATAGTATTGTGTAGATAACTAAATATTTTATGAACGTTATATATAACTGAAGCACAGGCATTGGTGAAAATTTGTTCAGAAAATATTTACGTGCAAAAACAACTAATCAGATATGCAACAATAGCATTATTTACGGTTACTTTATTACAAATATTAGATTACCAGATGAACAACACTTTTAATTAAGAAAACGATTCCATTTTAATAAGATAATGCAGAGATCATGAATTTACAGAAATATTAGGACGAAATAACACTAGAGCAACATTTAAATATAAGTAAAATTGTTTTCAATGAAAAATTATGGTTTTATATCTATAGTTTTATGGACGTTTATCATATGTCTCTTAAGATGCTGCTTCCACGTGAATTGCCGACCACAAGCATAGCACTTAAATTGTGGAGCAACACCACATTCCATTTTTAAATGACTATTCAAGCTTGTTCTATGTTTATACATTCTGTTACATCGATGACAAAGAAAATGATAAAATTTTGTATCTGAAAAAAAAATTTAATTAATCAAATGAATAGCGTAACATATTAAGGATAAAGAGCTATACGAATACAATAAATATTAAATGTTGTAATACATCAGTATCATTCTAACAAAAAGCCATTACAAATCGCCTGGAAGGAAATACAAAATCGCAATAATTTGATTACAGAATAATAACAAACCATACTAAATATCTCACTTTAAAATTTATTTCACAGAATCAGAAGTTTAAAAAGAGTTACAAACAACAATTCAACAATAACAAAATAGATAGTTATTAACACAGAGTATAATTATAACAAAATACATCAGAATAATTTCAACAAACAAAAGTTTCTTATAAAGAAAAAAAATGGTATATCTCTAAATTATTGTATAATGTAATGAAAGCAAATGCCGTTTTAGATGAGTTTTTTGGTGGAACTTTCGCCAACAAATCGTACATTGAAACTTAGGATCGACTCCGCACTCAAAACGTTGATGTCGTCGTAAGTTAGGTTTGTATTTGTACCATTTACCACATTTTAAACATTGGTGTTGCTGTTGTATAACTGCAAAATATAAATAAAAAATGAAAGCAAACACGGGCAGAACTACAATCAATCCTATAAATCGATATACATAAATTCAATAGCCATATAACTGAAGCAATTTAAAACACTACTTTTATTTTTAATGTATATATTAAGAGGTAGACGATCAGATTGCAAAAGTAATTTATATTTCAATAATTCATCGTTTTTAACAATGAATTATTTCACGATTTATGACGATATGAAAAAAAAAAAAAACATATCCAACCCAATACTTTAGGCTTCTTTGGATTTAATTTCAATTTCAAACATATATATTTTTGTTGTTATTTCTATAAATACGAACTATTTAACAATTATTTTTTAACGATTCTATACAATTTAGAACAACCAATGTACAAAAAACGAGCGAGTAAAAAGGCGACTGTTTCCAAAATTATAAAAACAACATTAATATAATATAAATTACATAAAATATAAGTTGAAAGAATCATAATGATAACTTTTATGATTATTAATTCTGAGAATCATATAGAGCAAGCAATTACAAACTTTTTTAAAATACAAAATTGTAAATTATAAAATCATATGAACAATAATTTCGTTTTTCTACAAATTATTTTTAATAATAATTGTTTAAAGCAAATTTAAATCATTGTTTTAGTTTTCTTTGGGAAATGAAAACGATAATATTTAGAAAGAAGTCCACAGTGATATCTCTAGTAAGCTAACATGATTTCTTCAAAGAACGATTTTCTATCATTTCTATAAAAGACATCTAAAACACAGAAAACATTTATAGAATATATACTTAGAGCAAATTAAGTACCCACGCTAGATATAAGAGTTCGTCAACGATATCGGCTACTTTTTTCGTTTATTTTTGAGATATCACGATAATCGAAAAAATATTTTTATAAAATATAACTGAAATTTGGTCACTTTTTTTTAATATATATATATATTATTTGATATTAGGCTAAAAACAGTACGTGATAAACTTGTTGACATTTTTCGCATTAAAATATATTTTGAAATATAGAATTAAGATAAGACGAAAAGACATTTAATGATACAAAATTCTATTCTTAGATAAGGTTTTTTTATTATTTTAACATAGTTATTATTCCAATTTTTAACAAAACACGAACAAAATAAGGTATAAGGAGATTTACACATAGAAATATTAGAGTTAGAAGATATACAACAACATTTAGTTGAAATTCAATCTGAAAAATAAGATGAAATTATTCGGCTCATCGAAAAAAAAAATCAAATTCCTATAAGAATGATAATGATGAAGAAGATAATATTTTAACTATTATTTTATTTTATACAAATTTAAATTTTATTTTTGATAAGAAGAATAATTGTTTTCAGTTATGACAAAACAATAAAAAAATATAAACACCACTTATTGTCTTTTTATTATTATTTAAAACCAACACATTGAAACTTCAATAATATTATTCAATAAAGAACAATTTTATTCATTTAATATATAATAAAGTATTATTTTTTCATAATAAAAAATAATTTGAAAATATTTTATTATCGTTATGAGATATATTTATTCTCCGTATATTTTTGATATTAATATCATTATTTGATTTCTTTGGAATATTTAAATAAGGAATTTTGTTTTTAAATTCCTTTCGCATTATATTATACACTTTGCATAAAAATAGTCTTAGTTCACATTAAATACGATAAAACAATTAAGACTTTAGTTTAAAAATGTTTTTATTAGCATTATACTTAATTAAATATAAAAACAATAAAAATAACTGCATTTATCACAAAAAATGGAAATAAATCAGTTCTTTCATTTTGAATATCGTTATAAAAAGTAGATAAACTATGCTAATAATTTATGCACATTTATAACATGACATCGTAACTGAGCTTTGTGAGCAAATCTTCTTAAACATACATAACATCGAAACTTCTTTTCAATTCCACACTCAAATTTTCTATGATTTAACAAACTTTGGCGATGTTTATAAGTTTTATAACATCTAGGGCATTTCCACACGAGTTCTGACGCCCAATTAATCATATGTCCTGTAAAAATGAAATTTAAATTTAGATTAATGGATCTATTAGATCAGCATTAAACGCTAAACAAATATCACTCTGTTTTACAAATTATAGCATATATCAAAAAGTAATTCGTCATTATTTTAATTTATTAAAACAATGAAACATCAGAAAACATTAATTTTTCTCGCTACACTTTTTGTATATTTTAATGTAGTAATTTTTCAATTAAAAATATAAAAAAAAATCATATAATTTTATTTATTGTTATTAAGACATTTGCTACACTAACTATAAACAAAATTGCTAAAAAATTATAAATAGTCAATAAAGCTAATAATGATAATTTTTATATAATGAATAAGAAACATTAATTGATAAACGTTAAAAAAAAATAATAAAATAAGTTCTTACTAATATTGTCCACTTAAAATACATATATATCTAAATGGACAAACATTATTAACCGCTGTTAGAGTTGGCAATGTAGTTATGCATATTTATCATGTGACTCTTTAAGTTATCTGGCCGTTTAGTCATTTTATTGCAAAAATGACATTTAAATTGAGCTGTTTTGCAACATTCATACTTTAAATGTTTATACAGACTTTGACGTGAGTACATTTTTCCACACTTAAGACACTTAACTGTATATTTGGTTTTATATAGTAAAATTGTATTAATGCCTTTACCTAAAAAACCATTAATAAAAAATTAAAAAATTAATTGAATAATAGATAACAGATAAAACGTTGTTAAAATGGTATGATTATATTCATCAATAATTAAACTTGTCGATATTTCATTCCAATCTATATTAATATATAGTTTTAAAGCAAGCTTATTGTATTAAATAATTTTAAAAAATTATAACAATTAAAATAACAAAGAATATATTTAAAAGTTAAATTAATTGTATATGCATAATTTAATGAAAGTTTTACGGAAAAAACATACCATGTAAACAAACAATTTTGTTTTTATTCTATACTGTTAATTGCAATATTGATACCTAAATATCTTATTATATAAAATCATTATTATTATTATTATTATTATTTAATCTTAAACGCCCAATTTGAAAATATATGATTGTTAGAGAGGATGGGTAAACTTAAATAGCTAAGGGCAACAGAATTGTACCCTAGTACACCTACGCCTTTATGTACGGCGGATTTCTAACGAAAAATGTATTTTTTCAAAAAATTATATAATTTAGAATATTCCAAAATAACTTTTATAATTCATAATAGTTCATTATTTATAAGCAAAAATGTATTTAAGGAAAATTCTAAACAATTCATTTATTTAAAAAAATAAAATATTAAGGCTAATGAAATTTACAATAATTTTTTATCATTTAAACAATTCATTATTAAAATATTTTTATATACAAATATGTTTTTTGTAACATTATAATTTCAAGGCATTTAAAGAAGGTTAATGATATTTTCGGAGGTATTTTAAGTTTAAAACCTAGTGCTAAGTAACACCAAAGAATTTTGAAGACTCAAAATCATGAGAATAATTTCTGTTATTTGCATAGATTGTCAGAAAAATAAAAAATAAAATAATACTCCTTCATTGTCTTAATTTTAATAGTTAGTAATAATTTTTACATTAATTGACATGTTTAAATAAAAAGAAATAATAACAAAAAATAACAATAAATAGCATTACATTCATATACAACAAGAAAAATAACGCAATTGACATAAATGTCTGTTGAAGGTCATTGCACGATATAAAACTAAATGTATAATTTATATACTTTGATTTTTTATGTTAGCTTAAAAACTTCTACGTGTTATTTGAGGAAATATTTTGTTCTTGCTTTAATATACAATACTGTATAATTCATTATTAATATTTAACGATTATAATAGTCTACTGCGAAATAAAAGTTATATTTAAAAATAAATTAATATGACCTAAGATCTTTAAAAAAGATTTAATCATTCGAAATACAAAGAAGATAATTGATTTAAAAAATATGATAATTTTTTAATACATCATATTATACTTTTTATTTGTATAATATTTATATATAAAGATGAAGTTGAAAAAAAAATTAAATAGAATTGAAAGGATAAAACATATAGCATATAATTAGTCTAAATTGTGTATTTATGCATGATAATTTAAAAAGCAATCATATCTAAAAGACTATGTAAGGAACTAAGTCTCATAGTTATAAATTGCTCAAAAAATATTTTGATTAAATTAAAAAAATTTATCGAAGTTTTAACATTTATTATAGGAAAACAGGGCACAAAAAATAAAGTTATTATAGAAATAAACAGGTTGTTATAAAATATTTAATGTTTGATATTTTCATTTAATTAAATACATGAAAAATTTAATAACTATTAATAATAAATATTAAGTATAGGCTATACTCAGTTTTAACGGAAAAATTATTCATGCATTATACAAATGATATTAATTATTTTTTACACACTTTAGTACAAAAAAAAAAACAAATCACAAAACTCTAAAGGAGTTACTTATTTCAAGAATAATACAAAATATACACGGGNCAAAACTCTAAAGGAGTTACTTATTTCAAGAATAATACAAAATATACACGGGTAAAAAATGTTTAAATATTTATACTAGAATTTGGAATTACATGATATATTTATGCTAACAATAATATTTACATCAGGTACAAGTTATATCAGCATCTTATGACAATTAGTCGACCAGTGATAGCTTTTAGATTATCAAGAAGATTGATACTAATGAATCTTAAAATGATACTACTATATACATAAAATATTTACAAGATAAAATTACTTGATTTTAATGAATTAAAAATAATAATACATTTGTTCTATTACAAATAGTAATTGACTAATATAAAAAATAATTTTTGTAAATAAATTAATAAAAGTTAATTAATGATGCTTTTTATCATTTTTATTGATACCATGTATAGTTAATAAATGCATTTTATATGTTTCTGGCTGTTTATACAGTTTATTACAAATGGGACATTGAAATTGAGGCGACACGCCACACTCATATTTAAGGTGACGAACTAATCCTTTTTTATATTTATATTTTCGACCACATTGTTTTGGACAGTAAAAGAAGTCAACTTCGCGTTTAAAGAAATATCCTGTAACGTAAATAAATGATAACAAAATAATCATAAAAATTATACATACTAAAAAAAATTATTTAAATTAAATAATCAAAATAAAACAAGCATTTGTAAAGCTGAAATATTAAAAGCAATAGTAGAATATGGAACATTATAAGACAGTCGAAGCAATAAATGAAAAAACAAAACAAAATTAAATTGTTATTTATTTATTTAACATCAAATACACATTTAATACAACTAAAAAAATACTAATATTAAATGTAAAATAAAAAAACTATAGCATAGATACAATTTATTTTGAAAATTAAAATATTATAATATAATATATATTATATTTTACATCTTCCAATATATTGGTTCAAAAGTTATCATTTAGGCATTATTTTAGTTGGATGATATCCTCTTTAAAAAGATAAGGAATAGCCCTGAAAAATATTTAACTACTTACAAATCGAGAAATAAATTATACTAAACAATATCAAACATTTTTTTTTTTTTGCAAATTATTATTTTAGATAAAATTTAGCGATCAACGATAAATTAATCACTCTGTTAAGTTAAAGGATGTGACAATGCCTTATACACACTGTCTCAAAATCGATACTTAGTTTTATGCTGACTTTTCGAACTTGTTTTGAGTTCATCTTCGCAAAGATAGTTACAGGTCCGAGATTGTATCTCACGAATATCTTAAAGCATTTAGAATAACTATCAATCGGAATATGAATTTTGCAACAAGTTCGAAACGTCGACACAAACAAAAGACATGGATATATCCGTTAATTATCTAATAATATGTGTGAATAGTTATATAAATAATTAGAAGAAATTCTAAAAACAATTATTCCTCAGTTTAAAATATACGAATAATAGAATCAAAAATAAAAAAAATCCGGCATATGTTAATATACTAATTGTATTACAATTAAACTATTTGTATCAATTATATTTGTGTATAAATTAATAGATTCAGGGCTGTCCCGAGGAGCGTTGGGGAGTGGCACACTCTTCTCCGTAGTCAATTGTTTTTGTAAGCAATTTTTTGAGATATAAAGATATAAAAAAATTAAATAAATAAATACCTAAAAAAATTAACATAAATTAAAAAAAATTATTTAATCAGAAAAATTAGTTTACATCCTCTCCTAGTTTTTTCTTCGGGTTAACCTCACATAGATTTGAATTTTTATTTCTTGATCATTGTCAAATATTTTGCTAAAATATTCATAAACGATTTATTTTATATTCATTAATTTAATTTTTAATGATTATTAAATAAAAAAAAATGAATTATGTGTAAAACTTACCAGCCTTAATAACATATTTTGTATTGCAAAAATTAGGTACAGAAAATTGTAATTTTTAAATATATTTCTTGAATATAAAATTTCACATCAATACTAAATAAAATTATAAAGTACACTTTACTCAAAAACAAATGTTGAACCTTATCTTTTTTGTTAACAAATGTATTTCTTTAATATGCTAACTTTTAATGTATTTTTTACATTTTAAAAAATAAACTACTTAAACAATTTTAACAAAATCCAAAATCATACCAACATACATAACAATTTTTTGATAAAACTTCACTAATAGAATTTAAAAATGAGTCATCTTGACATTTAAAGAAATAAAAATATTCAATCAAAAATACTTTAGACTATATTAAAATATACGCAATGGAATATGGCACTAAGTTGATAGACAAGGGAAAGTATAAATTATTATTATATAGATATTTAATTAGGTTATATATGATGTTTCTTTTAGTATTGTTGAAAATAGTTTCATTAGAATTCATAATTCGACCATAATGCTGAAATATCAACTGATATCAAATATATAAATTATTTACTACAAATACTTAAACTGCCAAAGAAAATTGAAGAATTCAGTTTTCTAAAATTTCATAATATACATGGTGATTAATTAAGGATCAGGCACTTACATTTTCGGAAACCATTGAACATTTTTGTTAATTAATATACTGATTAAAAAAAACTACAATAAAGTATAATTAAATAATTTTATTTTCCATTCCTTCTATGATAAAAAAACGTTAACATTAATTTTTTTAAATGAAAATTTAAATTTACTTTTAGAATATTACCATATATTATTAAATATACCTATTTTTATCTTTTTATGAAAAACAATTTACAAATTGATTTTTCTTATCATTTTTTTTATCTAATCAACGGTTCCTTTTAGCTTCGATGCGAAGCTAAGAAGGTATTGGTTTTACTAAGATGTGTTTTTTTTTTTGTGTCTGTTACCCCTTTTTCTCAGCTCTCACCAAACCGATTTCTTTCAATGATACGTCAAAAGATCACAAATCGTATCTAGTCGAAGACATTACCCTAAAAAATTGAAAAAAATTCCCTCGTTCCCGTAAATGGGGGAAACCTCCAAAAAAATTACAAATTTAAAAATGGCTAATTTTCGAAAATTTTTCAATTTATTTTACTTAAAACTGCCGTTACTTTTTTAAAAATAAACATATCAATATAATTCTTTTTTTTATAGATGCATGATGTCATTACCTATTATTTGGTATATTTTTTTTAGAAATCTGACTTTTTACCTGCCTACAGGGGGGGATTTATAATGATAACTTTTTCACAAAAAATTGACTTTTTCAACTTAAATTTTGAAAGTGTTCCGGAAAGTCTGACACTTTTCTATATATATTAAATTAAAGCTAATGTAATCTACTTTATTATGTAAAAAAAAAATTTCGGACTTTATTTTGTCTTCACNATATATTAAATTAAAGCTAATGTAATCTACTTTATTATGTAAAAAAAAATTTCGGACTTTATTTTATCTTCACGGTAAAAGTGGCTACCGAATGCTATTTTTGTGTGAAAATTTTCGATTTTGTATTTTACATTTTTAACTTTATTATGCTATAACTTATTGTAAAGTGTATGGATCAACACAATTTTTTTATGAGAAATAATATTTTTCAATAATCCTTTTTCATTCGACATACTTTATCTTAATCAAGATATTAATAAGGAACTAGCAGATCATGTAGCTTTTGGAATAATACACCAATTTTTTAAAATTTAACACTATCTAAAAGTTTATTGATCAATACAATATTTTTATGAGAAGTAGTATTTATATAGATCTTTCATTGGATATACTTTTTTTTTTAATCAGACTATTTCCCTATATATGGGGGGTCTTCGAATATTAAAAATGCATATAGAAAGTAGAACTTTTTCAACTTAACTTTTGAAAGTGTTCCGGAAGGTCTGACACTTTTATATATATTTTAAATTGAAGCTAATGTAATTTACTTTATTATGCGAAAAAAAAATTTCGGACTTTGTATTTTACATTTTTAACTTTATTATGCTATAACTTATTGAAAAGTGTATTGATCAATATAATTTTTTTATGGGAAATACTATTTTTTAATAATCCCTTTTTCATTCGACATACTTTATCTTAATCAGGATATTAATAAGGAACTAGCAGTTTATGAAGCTTTTGGAATAATCCACCAATTTTTTAAAATTAAACACTATCTAAAGATTTGCATCGAAGCGTTTTTTTTTTATAGTGATTTTAATCACTGTCAGATATCATTATACTTGATCCAACTATGCCACGTCACCACTGTGCCGCGACCCCCCTGTGCTGGTTTTTTTTTTTTATCATAATTTCAAGTTATAAACAGGAGTTCCCATTTAAAAAATGTATAAATAAGGACTCTGATCCCTGAAGGGTTGAGAAAACATGTATTTAACTTCATATTATTGTATATAGCCTCCTCGTCACCCTGGAATGGGTCCCTTAGGCCCAGTCCACATTCCTTTTGCCTCTTCCTAATTCCTGCTTATCCGGGTCTAGGCTATTTAATGATGAGTAGCCTCAGCCTACCTCCCTTTTCCTATGGCTTTCTACGGGGTAGAAGTCGCCTCATCCAAGGCGTCTCGCATAGCTATGAGGTATGCGGCCCGCTGGGGCGTCTTTCTGATAAATATAGTTTTTTTAACAAACAATATTATCTTTTTGAAATATTTAATATTGTCAGTAGTTTCCGAGAAAAGGAGTGTCTTATCCTTAATGAATTAACCTGCATATTTATTGATTCATGGATAACAATTTTCTTTTTACTTAAACCAACATTATAGAATAATGCAAAATTTCTTAATGATTTTTAAAACAAATAAATAATTAAATGTTTAATTTGCATACAATAGTAGCATTCAATAATTCATATTGTTGTAAAAAAAAAAGAAAAAGAAAAGCAGACAAATTTTGGCTTTTAAAAATCATGTATGACTCCAACATAATAACAAAATGATTTATAAATGTATTTTGTTATACGAATTGAAGTATATAGATTAGTATAAACTTATAATTTGATAACTTTAATTACATTAACGACAAATTGTTTTTGGTTTTTCAAAATTATTTTGTAATTTTACTTTTGTTATTATAATTAATTTTAATTTTTAATTTATTTTTAGTGATGTTTAACTCGAGAAAAGAAAATAGACTTTACTCTTGATAATAGACTTGATGAAGGATCATTTTTGAAAAGTGACAAAAAAAAGGCCATGTTATTCTATATTTAAAAAAAAATTTACTACATATTGTTTTGATTTTTGAACTCCTAGTCTACTATAACTATAATAATTAAGGTATCCGTTTTGTCCAATATTTCCTTAATTCAAAATAAGAACTCCGTTTTTAAATTTATTTATGATATACTAGAAATTAAAATATAGAATTTATATAATATATAGAATTAATAATTAAATGTGAACAAATATGAAGCTTAAATCATTAATTAATTTAAATTTAAAATGCAGTATATACATACTATGAATATGGATAAAATTAAAGTAATCAAATTTTAATTTTATTATATCTTGTTAAATGTTTTTTAGTACTAGAAACATTTAAAATTTTCAATAATACAACAGATTTTAAGAAATTTTATAAAATCTTAGGTAATATTTTAATATTGGTAACATAATAATGGGCATATAATTAAAAAATTATAATGAGAAGAACACAAAAAAATTATTTTCATTGAAGTATTGTTATTACAGAATTATTAGAGTTCCGTTAATCTGAAATAATTAGTACTCTAATAAATAATTTATTATAAATTATAATAGTGTATCTATGATATTAAATGTCATATAACATAGTAAAAAATATTAAATTCTTAGATAATAGATAATCCTTAAAAAATCTTCCAATGTCTCTCCTTACCTGATTACATCCAACATTTACCTATAAACATTTAATAGCCAAGATAAATTAAATTCTTTTCCTATGATTATAAAGTTGCTTGAAATGAAAGAAACTAAATTTTGTAACTATTTTAAATGTATATAGAGACAGAGTAATACAGAGTTTGAGATGGAATTATACCTGACATGAGACTTAAGTTAAACTAAAATAGTTAATCACATATTTGTGATTTTAGGAATGTGAGAGAACTGTTTTCCAGGGTCAACCTAATCCAAATTTTAGATTATAAGTGGACACACTTATAAGATGTAAGGGATGAACTTAAAAAATGCTTTATGTTCTATAAATTAAGTAAAATGTGTAACTAAAAAAAACCAATACAAATAATTAACATTATTTTTGTTTTTGATTATTTAAGTAGTTTGTGATAAGTGATTTAGCCTGTACAGCCAAATACTGAAAATAGAATAAACACTTCCTTTTAAATTAAAATTTAATTATTATTGATAATTATCAATAATAAATCAATTGAGTAAAAATTTAATTATTTGACAATAATATTAAATTATTTAATTACACTAAAACATTACATCATTACCATTTATTTAAGATAGAAAACTTTTTTAAAATGAATTATTATTTGTTTTAAATATTTTTACAGTGAATAAAATATCAAAAATATTTAATATAGAAATGAATTAGTTTTTAATAAATTTAATAATATTGCAAATGAAAAATTACGATTCAGATAATATTTGTTACCTTATCAGAAATAAAATGATTAAAAGGGTGAAATTTATGTTACCCGAAGTTCTTCATTCTTCTGAGAGACATGGAAATATTTTTTTTAAGTATATACTAAAGTATATAAAATTTTTACCATTCAACACCACAATGTCAGTAAAAAAAACCCAGCACAGGGGGGTCGCGGCACAGTGGTGACGTAGCATAGTTGGATCAAGTATAATGATATCTGACAGTGATTAAAATCACTATCAAAAATAA